GACCCTCACTACACGTTTGGGCCTGCCAGGTCTGACCGGCTTCCTCCCCCACCACCGGAGCCAGCTCACCACCAGGTAGTGGTCAGTTGACAGCTCCGCCCCTCTCTTCACCCGAGTGTCCAAGACATACGGTCGCAGATCCGATGAAACGACTTTACATTAGCAAAATGGATTTATGACTGAACGAACTTCCACGTCTATTTTTAACAATCTCTGTGGGTAACAATACATAAAAAACAAGTTTTTCTCCGACAATTGGGTGTGAAAAACTACAGTTGTTAAAGAAGCTTTGCTCTGCACGACGTGCAGCGAGAGGAGAGGGAGGAAGGAAATGTTCCCGCGACACGACGTAACTTTTCTACAGCGGGAGGAGGAAATTTTTTTTCTCTATATGCATTTTAAAATGCTAAAATTTCTTCATTATATTTCAAACTCCTGCTCAGTTGTCTCTGCACTCGCAGCCCTGTTGACACAGGTGTGATGACGTAATGACGATATGAAGGTAGACTATCAATTTCTTTTTTTATTTATTTTTTTATTTTTAACTTGTCCTGTCCGGCTGTGTGGCTCAGAATTATAACCTGAGTGTCATGGTATGGGCCGACAGATTTGCTTTCACAAGCGGAGCATTTTGGCTTTCGCCATAATGCTCCACTTGATAAATTAAACTTTATTAGAAATATTATTGGGCCTATTTCAATTATAACTGACAGATAGACAAGTAAAAAAAAGAAGAAAGAAAGGGAAAAAAGGAAAGAAAGGAGAGAGAGTTACAATACAATGGAAAAAAAGTGGAAGAAAGAATCGAAAACATGCGAGATATACAATAATACAACACGTCCAACAACCGTCTGCACACCTATATACACCTGGTGATCTTTCAGAACCCCCCGGATCTGAACCCCTGTCTGCGTGCGGTTGTGAGCAAGCATAAATATACAGGATTTCTCCAACGGAGTGTATAGTAGTGACTGTGGGGGAGTCCCAGAGCCGACCCCCAAGGCACAAGGCAGACATAAGGGGAGGCCAGAGCAAAAGACCCAAAGACGGTAGACTATCAGTTTCTACCATGGGCCAACTTCATACCGTTTCTACTGTCTACCGCGCAGCCCTAATTCAAGATGTCTTAAATTATCTCTGGTTTGTAGGTACAGTAAATATTGGTGTTTTTCTGATATTTTTATTATTCAAATCAATATTAATATTAAATCTAATAATCACTGAAATCAAGAGTTTTATTGTGATATAAATTTTACTCCTATCTCAGCCCTTCTCACAACACATTTTCAGAGGGATATCTGAAAGTTTGAACAAGATCACAGCATGTTGTTATTTTCAAAGTTTGACAAAAACGCCTACAGCTCCATCATTTCTCATCACAAAATGATTTTAGTTCACAACACTGCTTTGACAGGCGGTGGGTTATTCCTGGATTTATTTTCATGTCTTCACACTCTTCTTGCATCTCTTACCTCAAGCGCCGCAGGCTGGCCCGAGGCAGCTCCCCGTTGTCGCCAAAGTCTACGTAGTAGAGGTCCACCAGATCCAAGCCCTGGACTCCCAGAACCCTGGCCCTGTTCCACGTACCATGGTCTCGGTATGGAGCTGCCACGATGTCTCCAACAACAATAGTCTTGACCTGCTGCTCCTACAGAACCACAGCATGTTAAAGTATCATGTAAAGCTGTGAGTACACAGTGGAGACAGGTACTAAAGATAAGAACCACACTGATGGAATAATCTGAGCCACACAGAACCTGAAGCAAGTTAGATCTGAGTCTTAGCAAAAACTAGTATGCAAGTATCCATTAAGTACACTAATTTTAAATTAAAATAAGAGTATTCGAATAAGTGTATTATCTTACACTGTACTTGGCTTGTACTCAAAGTATACTAAAAGTTTAAGTATACTTAAACTATACTAATGTTTATCATGTTCTTTGATTTCTCCAGTGCTTTTAACACAATTCAGCCTGAGTTGCTTTGTCTGAAACTCCAGAAGACTCCG